TCTCATACTAAAATTGTCTCATACACGTTATTATATTAGCAAAATGACACTTATAATATGATATATTCTTTTGTCTTTAACTATTTAAATAATTTGAAATGGAAAGAATGGATTTTGTAATATAAAAATTTAGAAATATTACCTATTTTAGTATGACGGTTTTTTCCTTTTTGTTAATTAGTCCATAAACCTTGTTTAGAATATATTTCTTATTTTAATTTTTAAATTTTTGTTAATGTTGACACATGTCACAATCGAAATTAACAATTATATGTGTCGTAATCTGGTGAGTTATAATTTTGCTTATGTGTCGCATTCTCATCGTGCGCATTCTCCTTTATATAATAAGATCATTCATTGCTTGACAAAAAAACCATGAGATTATTTTTAAAAAGTAAAATTTTCCTTCTACAGTTACTCAACCATTCCTTTACAAATAGAGGCAAATAGAGGCTAAAGAACTCATAATGGAACTCACTCCTCTTTGAAAATCCTATCTTTTTTCGTAAGACAAGCAAATCCGAGGGAGAAACAATTAATAACTTTGACTGGGAAGCTTGAGACAGAAGTGGAACTCAAAGCTTCGGCTGGAAAGTTTCATCACATGTACGCTGGGAGACCACACCATGTCTCCAAAGCATCTCCAGGTAACATTCAGGGTTGTGATCTGCACGAAGGAGATTGGGGCAAAGTCGGCTCTATTGTCTTCTGGAACTACGTTCATGGCAAGTCAACTTTATACACAATTTAAAAAAAAAATCATTGAATTCAAGTTAATAAAGTCTAATTTATGATTAAGGTATGCGACCATGAAATATATGTAGTGGCAAAAAGTAGTTTTGTCTAGGGTAAATTGATTTTAGACTCCCATTAAACTACTATCAGTTGTTTTTTTTTATAACCGGAGGATTCCAAACGAAAAAAAGAAGAAGCAAATCTTTAGATAATCCCTGACATAGATCCACAAGGCTGACTATACTATATATAACACTATCACTTATAATAAGCTTTTGAACTAACATTCAAGTTATTCTTCAAGTCAAACCTAAATAAATGAAAGTAATAAAATAATTGGTGCAGATGGGGAGGCAAAGGTGGCAAAGGAGAGGATCGAGGCGGTGGAACCGGAGAAGAACTTGATCACGTTTAGGGTTATAGAAGCTGATCTAATAAAAGAGTACAAGAGCTCCTTGCTCACAATCCAGGTGACCCCTAAGGAAGGAGGGACCGGGAATATTGTTCACTGGCACCTTGAGTACGAGAGAATTAGCAACGAGGCTGCTCATCCCGAGACTCTCCTCCAGTTGAGTGTGGAAGTCTTTAAAGAGATCGACGAACATCTCTTGTCTGAGGAATAGAGGAGAGCACTCCTCGTGTGACTACATGTTACATATATGTGAGATTAAAAAACATGTCGATTTCAGACTTTGAAAGTACAATAAATAATGAGATATGTTCGATAGAGAGTTATATTGAAATGGAAGTGCAATATGTATTATGTTTTTGTTGTTGTAAGTGTTATGTTTGTCACTAATAAAAGGGATAAAGC